AATCTATGGCTCTTGACGCCCACTATTGTCGTCGTGTCTGTCCTCCTGGTGTCCGTCGTCTCTCTGGTTTGCTGGCTGAAGCGCAGATCCTTCATGATCGTCCGGTAAGTCCCGCCTTCTCCGCACATATTTTCTGCCCTTATTCCGTATCTGTGACTGTTTCGTCCTCTCCTCCTCAGCTACAAGCCGGATCCGTCTGCAGAGGCCACAACGAATGGGACAAACGTCTGTCTCCTCACACCAGCCAAACAGGCAAACAATGTGGTCGGTGTCGATGAGAAAACTGCGGCCTCTACGATGGAAAAAAGTGTCAAGGAGGGTCACATGCTGGAATATCTACAGCACCAACAACAGTCGCAGCCACCAGGTACGGCACTTTCTGCCTTATTATAAGTAAATAGACATCGTATATTTCAACCAACAGCGCTTTGCGACTGTTCGACCGTCGATGTCGGCGATGTTCACCGTGGGCTACACAGCTAGGTGCGACAGGCACGTTTAATTGCGCATGAATTAGTTTATAGTCACAGTAGGCTTTCGCAGCATCTTCATCACTTTATCTCCCCCACTCTCCAGCTGGACCCGGTGTCAAGACATAGTCAAGAAGACCGGAGGCGGATGAGGGCGTAGGTGGTTGGTACGGTCGGACCCGCACCTAGGCGGGCGACCACATCGCCTGGTTCACAACATACACTTGACCAGGATTTTTTCACCAACAACACTACACCAACAGGGATCAGAAGGACAAGGATGACTGGGCAGCCATGTCCACTATCTATATACCCAGCGGCGGCGCAAGCTAATCTAGCGGCAGGGAACCAGGTGTCAGGGAACTGCCAGCACATAGCAGACTGCGAAGGCATAGCACATGCTTTCAGACATTTGATCTAGAAGGGCGACACCTGGCCCTGCATTTAGCCTGAGCCGTCAATCTTCAAGGTTGAGTAACGAAACAGTCGTCTACTAAGAGGCACTACCCATAAAGCACACACAAACACTCTCCTCACATGTATGAGAGTGTCACAGGTCGCTTGAGAAGGGGTCGTTACAGTCTGGCTCGCAGCCCACCAGTCCGCCACTCCACACAACACACACAACTGGGCAGACTGCGTGGACTGAGTTGGTTCCTCAGTCGTCTGCCTTCAGAACCACGGCGCTCGACGCACCGTCTTCGTCTCAGACTCCTATCATGCATGCAGCTGGTGGGTCGCATGGAGAAGGAGTCTAGGCGCGCACTTGCGTGGGAGGTGACAGTTGGGTGCTTGCAGTGGGTGATGTTGATATGCGTCTAGATGCGGGTGATGGAGGATGTGATGGTGTGGTGCAGCCGGCGGTTATCTAGCGCAGGTTTTCGTGGACGCGCCGAATAGGACCATGCAGTGCATGAGTGTAAGAGGGCAGTGTGAACAGTGGAGGTGGATGCGACGAGTGTAGGTTGGTGCTCCAGGCCCTGGTTCGGTAGTGTCTGCGCGATGGATTCGCAAGTGTCCGACCATGCCGATGTGTGAGATGAAGGTGCGATCGCAAGGAGGACAGGGTATGGGCCGAGTCCTCATCACTGGCGTTGACCGTGGTGGTGGTGGTGGTGGTGGTGGTGGTGGTGGTGGTGGTGGTGGTGGTGGTGGTGGTGGTGGTGGTGGTGGTTTTGTGGTGATGTGTCAGGATTGTGTGCACAAAGCCAAACATTTACCTGCGGTCGATAGTTGAACTCCAATTGTTATTTCCCTGTTTTCAGGCCATACGGTGGGTATTCCGTCGGTGGTTGATCCCATGGGCCATGGCAGTTCCGCGGACGCGGCTAGCAGGGGGGCCACTGGGAGTAGCATCAGTTCCGTCGTGTCCCTTCTGTCACCGGTGAAACACAGTGCTGCCTACTTCACGACGAGTCCCCTTTCCAACGCACCGCCTATGCAGAGTCAGCTGTCTGACGTGAGTCGTGGATATTTTCCTGTTTTCATTGGATCCACTTTTATTTCGTCTATCTCTGTCGTGCCCACTTAACTGATTTCAAGTCATTGATTTAGGATATACATCACATTCGGTGATGGTAGGGTATGTAACCCCCCTTGGATAGTTGTTCAGAAATCTGCCTTCTCATCTAATTCAGGCGGGCGTGGCTCGTAACCGTTACATGATGCGTGGATTCTCACCCTCACTAGCTTTAATGACATTTAAGGCGCCCATATTAAGCTAAAAGTTAGGGCTATGTTTGAGGTAAGAGTTAGTGTTAGGAGTTGGGTTACGCCTAGGGCTAGGGTTGTCAGTCCTGGACCATGGTTTGGATTTGGGGTTGAGACTGGGATTGGAGTCTTGGTTTAGGGTTGGAGTTGTAGGATTGGGACCGGGGTTAAGGTTGGAGTTTTACGATTAGTGTTAGGGATGTTAGGGTTAAGCTAAAGCTTGAGTTGGGGTTGCGGCTGCGTTCGTGTTTGACTTAAGTGTTTACGGGTTAGGAACTAGGGCTACCCGCGGCTGCCGTTAGAGCTGCAGTTGACCACGGCTTTCCCAGTGGGGTTACATACTATACCCTTACCTATCACACTTGTTGCCACTTGTCCAATCAGAACGCTGCCTGCATTCTCATTGTTTTTGCTGGTCTCAAATCACTTTTTACCCGCATGCTTGCTCCTGGCTTACTCTGGCTGGCTATCATTCATAATCCAATCTTTTGTAGCAGCGGTCTAGAAGAACTCCAGAAGAATGCCGCGATTCGGTTAGTTCGCGGAGTTGCAATACTACCTTGAACATTCTGCACATTCGTATCTCGAGTTCCTTCATTCAATCTACTGAATTCCTCGCACCTGTAAAGGTCTAGGTTATATGGGTTTTGAACCACTTTTGTCTCTGTTTCTCCGTGCTTCGTCGTCTTGTCGGTAAGGAGGATGGTCACTGATGGGAGATAGGGGGTCTTTGGGTCCCACGGGTTAGCTACCCAATAATTTTCTGCGTTTCAGCGACCAGTGGTGCTTATCAGGCGAACTGACCAGTGAAACGTCTTACTGTCTAATAAGCAAGCTGTCGTATAGTTCACGACCACTTATACATCCAGCCCCACAAATTCAAGTCCACTTGTTCTTGACCGCAGTTTTGCTTAGACCGACCAGGTCATTGTATTACGGCGTAAAAAAGAGGCAATGTTTAATGTGGACAAGATATTATCACAAAGTGGTAATAAGGATGGTCAAAGGATGGCCGTCCGACGCTTATTGGACCACCTAATGTGTCAGCCTTTCTGCGCATCTGAAGTTGGTTTGTGGTGCAATGTAGACGCTACGTTGTGTTCAGCTCTTAGTGGCTGTCACCCTCTACTAATAGAGTGTCGACAACCCTATGATCAATGCTCATGACTCGATTTGTTCGTAAAATTGACGAGTATAGATTTCGCGGACGAGCTTTCTGCATTCCGTAGCCTGGATTCTAGATAAGTCGGACGATGCCCAGTGAGACCGAAAAGTCGATCGCCGCTTTCTAAAAGTGCCGGAAGGAGGAGGAACCAGACTTCTCAGGGGAAAAGAGCAGTACTACGTAATGTAGCTCCAAGGAACAGTAGCATATATGCAATCAAGCAAGATTTGGCGTTGGAGATTTCAAAGACACTGCAATTCACTGGATCATAAAGTGTTCGTCTCTGTGTTTATCAGAAGCTTAGACGACTAATTCAGTTGACGAAGTATCACAAGGCACAACCAATACGCTGATCTGGGGATCACGCCATCTGAACGGATCAGTGGCATTGGGTGACCTTCTCCAACGAAGAGGGATTTAATTTGGATGGTCCGTACGGTTGGAACCATTTCTGACACGCTATACCCGTAAAGAACCGGATAGCTGTAAACGCCAACCCAACGCCTGCCCCTGCTGAAGATGTCGGCTGGGAAAGTCGAGGTAATGACGTCCGTTAGACGGGTGAAGCACTCCTTGCCATGCTCGTAAGCCGTGTCTGTATGGCCATAGCCTTGCTGTTATATCCCAGTTCCAGCTCAAGACGTAACATCTTCTTCGGTTCCGTGGAGATCACTTCCCTTCATTCATTCCCATCCATCGTGCGTACTGGTAAATGCTAATTTCCTTGGTAGGGGACGCTCACCGATCGTTCATACGGAACGAGTGAGTTCCGTAAAAACGATCGGTGAGCGCGCCCCCCCCCCCCCCTACCATTGTATATTCCCGATGGAAAACCGACATGGCAACGGGCTCGTGGCCCAGTGGTTAGAGGCGTGGATATATAACAGGTCGAGAGTTCGAGGCTCGGGTGTTCAACACTTCGGGCTTGGGTATGGCTGGCTGACGACGGCTAATAAGCCAGAAATGGCCATTGCAGTCTCCCTTGTCTTTGTCGGTAATAAAATACTGCTAATTTCCTTCTTTATGACTCCTGGCGTTTTCCATTCACTCCACCCAGGGAGCAGTTTTCCCTACCTGACTACTATTACACTGACATTTTTGTCTGGTCTCTTTGTAGGTGAGCCGGTACACGTACCCTCCGCCGGACCCCTGTCGACCAGTCATGGTGGCCCAGCCGGGTGGCCTGCCCGGATACCAGCCAACCTGTCCGCCACCTCCAGGCACCGCTGCCTTCTATACGGGCGGTGCCGGAGGATACGCCCAGCCGACACCACACGATGCTGTGCCTCTCAACTACTGTCCGACTGGAGGCAACTTCATCCGCGCCAACCTGCCTCCGGTGCCTTTCCTTGCCAGGCCCACTGATGGCGATGGTGTTGTCCGATCCGGGCCCCGAATCGATCTCGGTGCTGGGGGTCAGTCCACCTCAAAGCCTCGCCTTATCTTGCTGCTATGCCAGGGCCTGCTTTAGTGACTGCGTTTTCAGGTCGCTGGCCAGGTAGCAATGTGAGCGTAGGGAGACTGAAGCGACTCTAAGGACGATCCGCTAGTTGTTGCGGTTGCGTTCCCTTCTGTAGTGGCGAAGTGTACAGACGAGGACCTATGGGATTTGAACTCATCGCTGCAAACTTCATCGAAAGTACCGCGTAATGTCTCGCTGCCAAGGTGTAGGACCGGTGTAGCCCCAGATGACCAAAATTAAAAAAATACGTGGATAGATAAGGATCAAGATGCATTCGGATCATATACAGTGAGTGGCCGATCTTATGAAATGTTGGCTGAAATTCTGAAATGCGTTTTTGGTTAATGAGGATTGTGTAGGCACAGTTGTAATAATGATTATCTTTCGGCATAGTCCTATAATATTTTCGGACTCGGCAGGATGTCAGTTTTTAGATGCACTGCTTTTCTATCTGTAGAAACCGTACTCGGTAAAAAAAATGACTATTTAAGTAGCATGAATTTTTTGCTATGATTTTCGGCGTTCTTGAAAATTCAAACATGTTTTATAGCAGTTACGAATAAAAATATGCTTTCTTTCAGTCGTTTAATAGAGAATCACGTCATCTTTATATTTTATACTCAAAGAAGGACTATAACTAGGTTTTAAAAAGTTTCTAATTGTGTGATTTTTTGAGACCGCACAATGTCCATTCATGCAGCGTCGTTCCTGTCCGTTTACCACTGCTCGTCATGAAATGTACAGCATAGTCCACATCCATTGCGAAATTGTATAGATTCCATATAATATCTTTTTAATGACATGGAAGAATATGTGATTTTTTTACGCGGAACGCATGCCCCCTGTAGACTGAAATCACTAAGCGCTAATGCAAGCACTGATCAGACTCCAAATTATTCGGCAATTAGAAAAGTTTTTTAAAACCTAATTATAATTCTTTCTCGAATACAAAATATAAAGAAGACGTAATTTTCTATTAAACGACTGAAAGAAAGCATATTTTTGTTTATGGTTTCTATGAGATATACCTGAATTCGCAAGGCCATCGAAAATCAGTGTGAAAGATGCGTGCTACTTAAGTAGTCATTGTTTTACAGAGTATGGTTTCTACAGGAGATTGAAAAGCAGTGCATTCAAAAGCTGACATCTTGTTGAGTCCGAAATATCATAGGATTGTGCCGCATAATAATTAGTTTTGTAACCGCATCTAAGTAATCCTTCCAAATCGAAAACGCATTTCATAATTTCAGCCAACATTTCATTAAATCGGTCACTCACTGTACAAATATATGCCTAATTGAAGTGAAGATGCCGTTCCGGCACATAAGAAAAGGCGATCTCGGAAACCATCATTGTTTTGTTCTGACGTTTCCAAAACATGCAAGCTTCTGTCGTTGGGGGTGAGTATCGTACCGCACCCCACAGTATTTACGGGGGTTTCTATCATGTGAACACGGCGTTAGCAGTCGGAGCGACAGGAAGAGGTGGATGGGAGTCGTTAACCATCATACTTCCTGTTAGTGTTTTGTGTCTAGTGTTCATCGCCCACATACGCGCAGGGATCAGTTCCGTAGCCGAAAGGGGGGGGGAAGGAGGGTGGCGGAATGTTGTCAATCCGCCTGCCTCTCGTTTGTGGCCGGCGTCCGGACGTTGGCGGCAATCACCCGTATTCACACTGACCTTGGTTGTGGCCCCGGCGGCTAGTCTTGTTTGCGTCCCCTGAACTGTCATTTGCCTCGTCTGTGGCAATGTTGACGACTGCGCCTTCGCCCTATCCAGGCTGCAGTGCAGTGACGTGCGTGTCCGGCGTAGGCTCCCACGTGTTTGGATTTCTGTTTGGTCTATTTTCGCATCTGCTCTGTCCTTCGTTGAGCCGGAGGGCTGCAGAAAGAGCCACCCAACGAAAATTCTCCCCGTGTCGATTGCTATCCTGGATACGCGGTCGTTTCCGCGCCTTGGAAATTTGGCATGACGGGAAGCGAATGTGTGTCCAGAATCGGTGTACTTGCTGAGCTATCATTTTTTGTCAGTTTAGGACTTAAATTGCCACTATTGCAACCGCGCACCAGCTATTTTCTACCCTCGGGCAAAGATCTCACGAGTTTCTGAGTGTTTCGTTTAAAAAATTTCTATGGAAGCACCGATAAAGCCTCTTCATTCATCTTCTCTTCTCAGACTCCAAAGCTCTAAGATATGACCTCCGACCATTTTGATCAATTATAGTGCTGTAATCCGTGTTGTGATCTTACATACTGACAGTCCTGACATCTTTATGTCACTGACTGCGCATGTCTTCTTGTAGAAAACGAGGACACCTACCTGCAGCATCCTGGGGTGCCCCTAACTCGGGCCCACGGCACTTTGTCTGGACCCGGTGTCACCGCCTCAGATCTCATTTCAGAAACGAGTTCTGGTGAGTTTGTTTTCGCCACTAGCTTCAATCTTGCCGAGCTTACTGTGTTTGCGATTGGGCAAGGCTCTATTACACTATCGGGACCCTAGACATGCAGAGGTAGGCGTGTGTAATACGGCAGCCGTGGTAATAGGAGTTTTACACGTGGGGAAGGAGGCAAAAAGAGGAAAAGTCAGCCACTGACGCTTTTCTGCCAATGCGTAACCCAGAAAATACAACAGTTGTTTGAGTGAATAAAAATCGTAATGTAACGACCGCGCAATTTAAAAAAATGAGTAAGCTAACCCGAAAACCAAACGACGCCTAAAAAGAATGATTAGACGGTCAGGGTCACTGAAACTGAACTGAATAAGGTGATAACCAATGGGAATGGCCTGGGACACCAATGCCGTAGAAAGTGGGTGCCAAACGAGCATGGTAAAGAGTAGACCAAGCAGGTACCCGAGAAGTGCGATTATAAGTTAAGAAAAAGAAAAGGTGTGCAAATTTAATGAGAATGGGGAAAAATCCAAACAGCGTTGCGGAAAGGATTGAAAGTGAAATTTAAGCTATTGAATCATAGCAAAAATGACAATATTTTGACGAAAATATCTTAAAAGTCTCGGTATGTACCGAAGGGATATGAAAATATTTAGCAACATTAAATCGACCCTAACCTTAATGCCAAAACTAACCCAAACCCTGGCCTTAACTCTATCTCTGGCTGTCATGCTAACCATAGCCCTAACCTTGACCCTAGTCCAAAACCTAATTCTAACAGTAACCATGACTGAAGGCCTAACCATATACCTAAATCCAACTCCAAGTCTAATATTCAAAGTCTGGCAATGTCCGAAACACCAACCCAAAATACCTTAACGCTAACCCTAACCATAAACTTTAATTCCAACCCTAATCCTAACTCCGACTTTAAATCAAACCCTAATCCTAGACGTAGCACACACCTAACCCGAAACCTAGCACAAACCCTAGCCCAAAACTCACTCACAAGCCGGACAATAGGGCAGACTCTAACCCAAAACCTAGCACTAACCCTAACGCCAAAGTCCTTTCGAGTCCGCCTTGAAATTAACCCACATTCCAAAACGCCCATCAAACCGGCGAAAGCAATCCTAGCATAACCGCGAGCCTAAAGATAAGCCGAAAGGTAGTCCTCATATTAGGACTAAGAATAAACCTAATTCTAACCCTACAGCTAGAAATCAACCCGAAGCTATCCCCAAAAACCTTAGGGCAAGCCTTTAATGTTACAATGATCCTAACCGCAACTCACGAAAGCCAGGCGGAGACAAAAAAATAAATGTTAACCGCCTACTGAAATCAATTATAGTACGAAGATAATAACACAACAACAAACCCGGACAACGTAATAGGGCCCCACCTCCGATTGTTTGTCTCATGACTGGGTTTCCTCCGCCTAAACGTTACGACGCATATACCGGCAAGTAAAACAAGGCAAATCAGATATCATGGGGTTATCTTGTAACTCTTCCGAAAGTCACTCTCTTCTTCTTTTCGCCTTGTAGGCCTCCTCTCGTCTGCCTTTGGTGCCGGCCATCCCGTCTTCCAGAGCACTGGCGGTTTCAATCCTTCTGAGGGCTCGGGGACTGCTAATGCCTACTTCGGCGAATCCTCCACAGTCTCCTCCACCTCCAACTCCTCGCATCGCTTCGGCTCTCTACCGCCGACCTGTGCCACGGGGCTCCCTCCCATGGCCCAGCCTCCACCATTACCGATGCATCAATCCGCCCGGAAGGCAAGCCTGGGTGCTGGTGCCGGTCGTATTCTCTCCACTCAGAAGGAGACTGACTCCGAAGCCCCCGCCCCCCATCAGAAACCACAGCAGCAGCAGCAGCAGCAGCAAAGATTGTCAGTTAAGAGGACCGGTCCGTCTTCTGAGTCCAAGGCCTCCACACCGCGGAAGAACGCCTCCACGAAGATGACCAAGTCCACCTCTGCGAACATGCCGGTACGCGTCTCTATCCATTTGCCATTGCTGCATTCGATGTTGTTAAGGGGACACCTCCCTATGTACGTGCGTATGTTTGTGTCTCTTATTCCAAAGTAGTAGTCAGTGTCATGACCGCAGCTAGCTCTCGATGCTGAGACACCAGACACCGTTCTTTTTTGAAGTCCTGAGCCTCTCTCTATAGCTGAAAGTAGCTGCAGTAGAAGTGCTAGTAGTAGCAGTAGTAGACGTTTTACTGGTGGGGAAAGAAGTAGTAATGGAAGCAGTAGTAGTTCTGGTAGCCGCGGTAGTAGTAGTAGTTGTTGTTGTATTAATGGTAGTAGTAGTAGTAGTAGTAGTAGTAGTAGTAGTAGTAGTAGTGGTAGTAGTAGTAGTAGTAGTAGTAGTAGTAGTAGTTCGACCGTCGTAGCCGGCGATGTCCACCCGGTGACTTGCGCGTGTATTAGTTTAGTAAGAGTAGACTTGCGCTGCATCTGCGCACTCCTCCACCTGCACCCGGTGTGAAGAGGGAGTCTAGAAGACGGGAGACAGGCGAGGATTCAGGCGGATGGCGCGGCCGAGCCCGCACCTTGGCGCTCCACTCTACAATTCCTGGTCCACACAACAATTGATCCGGATTTTAATCGACAACAATACCACGACGGGTCGGAAGGAGGAGGATGATTGGGCAGGTATGCACACGCCCTACACACCCAACAGGAGCACAAGTACATCTACCAGCAGGGAACAGCAAATTGTTGGAGAACTTTCAGCGCATACCAGGCGGCGAGGACCATGGTTTGCTGGTTCTGGCATGGGAGGCCCTTACAGACTTTTAGCCCCGGTATAGCTAGTAGTCGACTGAAAGACGCTTTGACGAAATTTGTAGTCCTCGGTCTTCACTTCTATCGGAGTTCTCTTTTTGATGGTTATCTGCACAAAACTTTTACAACGCCCTGTGAACGAATGTCAGTGCGCACCTGGGATCGGGAGCTTCCTGCTGGAATGTCGGGTTCGTATCACGTATTATTTCTCTAGAGGCGATTCTTGATATTCCATAAAAGTGCCTGAACCGTTTCACGTTGCACTGACCTCTAAACCAGCTGCTAACGCAGTTTACATGCTTCTCGGGTTTTCGTTTGCACCTTCCCTCCGCTCACTAGATGTGACGCCGCCGGATTACTTTCCTAAACCGCGCCTAATTTTTTTTCTGCACAGAAAGCGATCAGCACTGAGGAACTGACCCAAGAGATGGCCAACCTAGACGGTCTCATGAAGGACCTCTCGCTTATCACTCAGAACGAATTCGGCTGTTAAACCTTCCGTCTGCTTGCCCAGCATAGAAGCAACCACTGCTCGCCTTCCGTGCGGACACACACATATATATATATATATGTATGCGAAAAGGCTTTTTTGACCCCCGACTTACCCTTGCTATCGCCACCCCCACCCTGCGCCCTCCCCCTCCCATTCATCATCCTCGCATTATATATCACCGCTGGCATTTACTTTGGACCTCTTGTACTTAAAACAGCAGAGACACCATTCCTGTGACCACCTAACTTTGACAAAAATATACACAGTGCTCCACGCTACGACTGAATCGGGACGCTGCTGTAGTCGCTTAATTAAGAGACTTCTTTTAAAGTAAAGCATTTTTTTCTATATTCTTCTTCGATTGGTTCGCTCGGACGGCACGTGTTTTTTGATTTCGATCCCCAAGCAGGCTGCATCGCACCTGGTCTGTGCCTCGCTTGATCTGCGCCAAGTCTGTGCGCGCCCCCGTTCCTGCTGCTGCCGTGGCATGCGTTAGACAGAGGCTTATACGCCACGCCGACCCGAAGAAGAGGAAACTATTTCGGCGCTGAGATAACAATCCTCAGGGCAATTTAATTCATTCTTCACTGTACTAAGCTTGACGCGCTTGAAACTATCCAGGGACCTTCATAGTTGTGGTTTGGACAGTTGACAATAGACGGACAACTTTATTCTCACTGGGGAACGAAAGTCGAACTGGCCATTATGGCACGTCTCACTTCTGTACTATGAGAACCTGTGTGTCGAATGCGATAGACTGTGACTTCTTGTCGCCTCAGCCACTACACCCAATCGCATTTTAGTCAACGTGACTCGGAGAAACCGCTGTTGTTGCCCCCCCAAAACGGGTCATTTGGTAGATGCTGTGGACCAACGCGAGGCCATATCGAATTCTGGCAGGCGTTATCGGACTTGCGCACCATAAAAAATTCCAACATTTCGGGGTGCAGTGGCAGACTCGGTTGCCGGCAGACGCCGTGCATACTGGGACCCCTGCCATTCCTCCACTGTTGTTGGTCCAAAACGTGGTCGTTTGCTGTGTGCATCAGGAGATGTGGAGTGGTACGCCCAAGTGAGAGTCCAGCCGTGCCAGTTACCTGCGTCTTCCCCCGCCTCAGGTCTTCTTGACTGTATCTGGAACACCGGGTCTAGCTGGAGGAGGGAGGGAGTGCGGTGAACGTTGTGTAATTCCACTGTCACTATAAACTAATTCACGCGCGAGTCACCGTGCCTGCTGACTACCTTATCCAAATGTTCAACTGTGCGCACCCCTCGATAAAGTTCACTGCCGAGTCTGAAGCAGATAACGGAGTTGCGATTCTTGATGTCCTTCTACACAGGCAGAAGGATGGGTCTATCCAGCGCAGGGTGTTCCGAAAGAAAACCTGGACGGGACGATACGTCCATTTCCACAGTTTTGTCCCCCTCAGCATCAAACGAAATCTAGTCCAGGGATTGGCAGCTAGAGTGAGGCGCATCTGCTCATTTGAAGCTACTGAATTAGAGCTGCAATTCCTGCGCAACACACTTCGCGTGAATGAATACTCAAATAGATTTATCCTCCGAAATATTGGAAAACGCGTTGAAAAGCCCACTGTTGCGACTGCGGAAAAGAAAGATGTATTCATAAGATTGCCTTTGCAGGAGACGCAGAAAGCGAACTAATCAGACGGCGCTTAACTACAGCTATCACTTGAGCATTCCCCACAGCGAATTTACACGTACGTTTCACAAACTCTCTCCTCCTACGTTTGGGAGGTAAAGACAGACTACCGTTGGAGGCCACATCAATGTGCATTTACTCATTCACTTGCTCCTGTGGAGCGGGACACATCGGCCTCACAAAGAGACGCCTGGTAAAGAGGGTGCGTGAACATATGTCCGCCTGGCTAGACAGAGGTGAGACCCGATCGATTTCGAGTTCTATTCTCGCACATTTAACCGATATGGATCATCGAGTCGATGCCAAGGAAGCATTTCAGGTTGTCGATCGGACACCAACAAGCTTCTCTAAAGGCCTACGCCAACGAATACTAGCAACTGCCGAGGCAGTGGCTATACGGCTAGTGAATCCGGTGTTCTACTGTCAGAAACTCCTGATGCAAGCGCTCTCTCTGCCGTGGCCAACGTCAACCTCAAGTGATTACTACATGCCGCCTCAAATCCCTAATTACAGTGATGGATACTCGTATATTCAATCCAAGAACATCATTCAAAGACACTCTTATACCACTTCCCTAGCTCTGAAGATCAAGACTCTCTGACCTCGTCATGTGGACTGCGTGGGGAAGATGAATGTTAATGACTTAATAGCCCTTGAGACACCTATAAACACTATTAATTTTGTACATTTTCATTCTTTTATGTAACTGTCTGGGTACTTTGTTTTTCATCCTCTTTAAGAGTCCTGAACAGGCTTTGTGCATCGAACTAGAGGTGGGTCATAGACTTTTAGTTGCCCTTGAGTTGAGTAAGGTGAACGAGTGAAGTAGAGCAGGACTATTTCACTTGGCTTGGAGTTATGTGGGACCATTTAGGGGTGAGACAGGATCACTTGCGGCTCTTACACCAGCTCCTTAAAAACGTAGTCTACCCCAGGTAAACCGCTCCTCTTTTATTACCGAGAATAGGCAGGCATCTGCCCCTTCCCAGTAAACAAGGTTTTGATACCCACAGTTTCGTTACCCGACAATCTACAGGTGCCTATTTGGCACTGTCAATGTTTATCGTGACTTTGCGAGCTTTAAAGTTACGAGGATATCAATCTTGGAATTTAGGTACCCCAGAAATAGAATTTGAAGTCAAATTTGTTCTTTAGAAAAAGTAATAATCTCGAATATCCGACGCCGGTTCCCCAGATCGTAGTCAGATTTAAAGAAAATGTGCTTGTTTGGAGTTTGCACAGGTAAGCGGCTACCGTGTGCAATCGTCACATTTCAATTTAATCTCAATTCATTTCTTCTTGAGATTCAGATAAATACAGATAAATATTAGTATACATGAAGATTCGAGTACTATAGTGTTTATCATCCCTCAAAGAAGACAAAGAAGAGAAGGCGATTTTATAGATCAGGTCTGAGTCGTTCACTGGTTTTTCCTGCTGGTCTTGATTTATTTAGCCTTGCCGCCCGTCTCGAATTCTAATCGCGGCCAACACGAGTGCATTGGCCAGTCTGTTTGTTGTTGGCTTGTTCTGGCCTCCCTGACTTCGCCCATTGGCGGACTGGCGTGGCTAGCGTCCCCTTCGCAATTTTCGTGCATTCAGGTCACTGAGTCGAACTTTCCACCACTGAACCACTGGCGCCTTGTCCTGTCGGTTGAGATTCAGAATACCAACTTATGTTAGATGTGCGTTCACCAATCGGGCTGCAGAGCATACTTGTTCCGTCGTGCCTTGGGGCTCAGTATACACCCTTCGAAGACAGTCGCACAGCAGACGCACACTTGCATTATCCGCTCTGTGGTAATTCCCGCTATTCTCATATGCCGTGACTTCAACCCGACTGTGAGCCAATCTTGTGATCAAAAACCAGATTCCTAGGCAACTTGCTCAGTTATAATCACTTTGCGTCACGTTTTGCCAGGCCCCTGTTCAAATTATCGATGCGGTTATTTAGTTGCCCTCTCAGTCCCTACGTTGTTAAATGCCGCATCTCTCAATATGATGGGCCAGAGATGACCGTCTGTTGAGGATTCATAATCGCTCTATTCTCTGATGCAAGTGAATATTTTTCCAAGCATTAAGTATATTTCATTATCGCCGTTCGATAGTAGACCCTAAGAACGCTTAGTCGCCCTATTGCCTGACTTCGATTTCGGTAAATAGTCAAGCCAAACAGAATTCTGAAAAGCAGTCCGCTCTGGCTTAAATTCCGAAAGCATATCTAAGACTTGACCGCCAGCGGTTGTATTATTGGACCGTCATACGTTCCATCTTCCTTTGTAACGTGTGAATCTATTTTTCAAGCATCTAGGCATAAATTTTATCCCCTAAAAACAAATTGGATTAGTGAACGTGCACTTCCCAATTAACAAATATGTTTGTATCGCCGGGCAAACCCTCATCGACTAAGGATTGACACATTCCCCGAGTCCTGAATTTTGGCGAGACAAGGGTTTGTGAGGCTCTTCTCGATCAAGCTGTCGGATTGGAATTTGCCTTTAAGTTCCCATTTCGCATATACAACGGAGTGGTGAGCGATTCCTTTTGGCAGTTCATAATCAAACGAGTATTAAAATACGGGCTTCAACTAGTTTGCGGAGCGAAAATGCAGACAAATGCGTCTATGGGAAGGGAAAGGCAATTTTCGCTCTATTGAGCTTAAAAGGAAAGCCTACGCAGCAGACGAGACGGACAGAAGGAAGATCGCGATGGGAAAAGGATTTGGCTTGGACGTACCAGGATAAGCGAACAATACAGATATCTGACGCGGTAGGAATTGTGGTTAATATTTTCACTAAGTAAGACCGATATTCTGTACTACCTGACATCTCGAATGCCGTCAACTGCGATGTCCGCCGTTCGCCCCAGAGCAGGGTGGACGCGAGGGCAGTGACTGGTGCGCGACATAGTTTATAGTGACAATAGACTTTCGCTGTCTCTACCAAGACCCCTCCTCCCTCACTAGCGTGAGTCCTGTTATGTTGTCCCGCAGTCTCAGACGATGAGATTAGTTCCTGTTTGAACTCCCACATGAATATGTGAACTTTGACATTCTCTAACATTAAGCTCTAAAACGGTGTCCGCAAGCTGCATTTAACGTACACAAACCAATTCGCGTTTAATTTGAGGCCTCTCTGAGAAAGACTGTCGGACTTTTGACCAAAGTTTACTCGGTTGCATCTCGAAGAATTTGTAAGGTATTTGCTTTCAAAGAATAAAATGAAAGTCAATGCACTTAAGGGAAATGGGCAAAACTCTCAAGAACCCTACCTACGTGGAGACGCATGGGAACTAGGCCTAATATTGTTAAACACTATGGACGCCTTAAGTCAGGTAT